CGTTTAGTACCTAAACTATCATTTTTTATCTATTTTAGTACCTAGACTTTCAATTTTTTCAAAACCATATCAAAAGTTTAGTTTTTGTTTCATTTTAGTACCTGTTCAAAATTTAATGTTAAGTTTTGAATTTTTTTTGAAAGTTTAAGTGCTAAAACAGACCGAAATTGATAGTTTAAGTACTAAACGCGATAAGTTTTTAATGGCGAGTACTATTTAATGTATGCATGTGCTCAATGCTCATGGCCACTTGGAATTGAAAAATAAAAAGCATACTTAAATACAACACAAACCTATTTAATTAAATAATTGAATAATTTAAGGATTGTTTTGTCGTTAAAGGAAATATGATTGAAACATCAAATTCTAAATTACAACTCTTATCTTATATTTTTTTGTTATTAAAATAGTGATCGAATACGAGATTTTATGTTAAAGAATAATAATACTGAAAATTCATTAGTTAAATTATGAGGAGTTTGATTTAAATGTGAAGTGAATTGTTAATATTATGTATAATGCCATTGAAGATGATCATCTAGTTAGTCTCTTAATTAAACATTGTTTGAATTGCAAGGACCGAATGATTTCAGTGGTAAAAAGATTGTTGTTATTCTTTAAGGTCTCGAGTTCGAGCATTAAGAATGTCAGGGGTGTGAGCGTTCAATGTCAGATAGTTGATACCTTTTATACATGGGAAATGAATCCTTCGTCGTTTAAGCAATGTAAGTACTAGGGTAAAGTACATAAATGGTTCTCCGACTATAGGATATTACTTTATTAAGTCCATTAACTATTGAAAGTTACAAAATGATCCTCTAACTGTAGGGAGTTGTTTTGTTGAGTCCCCTTAACTATTAATAGTTACAAAATGATTATTTATTATGTTCTAAACTCGTATTTTTTCGTTAAAAATTTAACGACAGTCTGAGCTGTACTTTAACATGTTGATTGAGTTATGATAAAATATGATCTAATAATCTCATACGACTATCATATCTCAGTCAGTATGTTAACTTCCAACTCAAACGATCATTGATTTTTAATGTAAAATGACGAGTTTGGAACAAAATGAATAGTTGAGTGATCATTTCTTAACTTTTAATAGTCGAGGGATTCAACAAAGCAACTCTCTATAGTCGATGGACCATGTTGTAACTTTTAATAGTCAACAAACTCAATAAATTAAGCAATATCATATAGTCATGGGACCATTTGTGTACTTTACCTAAAAACTATTAGATATTTTAATAGTTTAATGTGATTATAAGGTGATATTTGTTTAGAATCTTTCTTAACCATTGATAACATGCACATACTCTTCAGACGTAGCTGTTCGAACCCAAAACCTCTAAAGAGAACGACCTTTTCTTTAACTACTGAAATCACTCAATAAGTTTATATTTAAGAGAAAATAACTTCAGTGACCGAAAATGTCTTATAATATACGATTTAACCAAATTTTTTTAGATTTGCAAAAATAACCAACAAATTCGCAATGTGAACTCCTATTTCACAACACAGTTTCCAAATTTGCAACTCGAATTTGAAATTCGCAACTCGAACATGGAAATTTTCGCAACGCGATTTCAAATTCGCAACACGAACTCCAATTTCGCAACACAGTTTCCAAATTCGCAACTTGAACATGGAAATTTTCGCAACGCTAATTATCGATATAGGTAAACACAACTATTTGCAACGCGAATTTCGTTTTCGCAAATCGAATTCGCCAATTTCGCAACTCAATTACCGATATAGGTAAACACGGTAGAAAAAATTCGGTCAAAAATCCGAATTCGCCAATTTGAAAACTAAGTTGCGAATTCGGCAAATTCGTGTTGTAAAATGTAAAATCATGCCTCTTAAAGAAAAAAATCATTTCGACAGGTCGTTTGTTTGGTTAAAGTTAAATGAACGAACGAACATGAACATACCCTCATTCGTGTTTGTTCAATTCATTTAGTTGAGTGATTCATACGTGAACTTAGCAACTGGGATGTCCCAGGTTGAAAACCACTCCAGTGCATTTTATGTCCTTTAATTTTTTCTTTAAGAGGCGAGATTTTTACATTTCGCAACACGAATTTGCCAAATTCGCAACTCAGTTTTTAAATTGTCGAATTCGGATTTTTTACCAGATTTTTTCTACCGTATCGGTAATTGAGTTGCGAAATTGGCGAATTCGATTTGTGAAATTCGCGTTGCGAATTTGGAAACTGTGTTGCGAAATAGGAGTTCGCGTTGCGAATTTGTTGGTTATTTTTACAAATCCAAAAAAATTGGTTAAAATCGTATATTATAAGGCATTTTTCATTACTGAAATTATTTTATCTATATTTAATCATGGTACTAAAAATGTTTGTATTTGATATTAATTTCATTGATACGAGAACTCTAAACAACATCGATAATGATGCATTAAGTAAAAAGACTTCTAACATCTTCAAGATGACAAAAATGAAATCAAAATCGAATTAATATTTCGAAAATATAATGTAAAATATAATGTCAAATATAGTACAAAAGTCTACAATAAGTACGATATATCAAATGATAAGATCCTATAAATTTGTGGCTCTTGTGCTCAAAACTTTGTGCGGGTAATTCCCTTACCCATTGTCACAAATCTTAACGAGTAAAGATCAAAATATGACCATTGTTCTTCTAGTTGCAATAACACCATATTGAAAATTTAAGCGAACACGAATCGAACACAAACATCTTCAGAAATAAATAAACGAGCACGAACATAACTTTGTTCGTTCAAGCTCGATTCATTTACCCTTAGTTTTATCTATAACGTATCATATTCTTACTATAATTGTTATTTTTTAATGTTAACTTCTTTTTCAAAAAACATTGTTGTTACTTTTTTGGACATAAAACTATAGTGTAAATATTAACATGATCGAAATTTTAAATTCGAAGGTCAAATTATAGATTAGGCCCTCATAACTTTATAATTTATTTTGTTGCTAATCTCGTTCAACCAATTGTCTTATAATATACCTATACCTAACTACTATTTAGATACGATGATGATAACGACGACAATAATTTAATAATAAAAGAAATTTTTTTTATATAATCACTAATATTCGATTTTTTAATCAAATAATTTAATAGAGTAGTGTAGTGTGGCTCATTCCATTAAATTAACTTGGGGGTTGTTTGTTTACTTTAGAATGATCAAACGCTGAATGATTTAAATGCTGAATGATTCAGAGGCTCTGTATGAATTAGCTCTGAATGTGACATGTTGTTTGATAATGACTCTGAATCATTCAGAATGTACTTCTGTGCTGAATCATTCATAATGTACTTCTGTGCTGAATCATTCAACACTGTTTTGCTGAATAAGTCAGCACTGAATCATTCAGAGGTGCGAAACAAACACGCTGAATGCTGAACGCTTCAGCATTCAACGCTGAATTGTTCCATTAAGAGACAAACAAACATCACCTTAGTGGATTAAGAGAAGTAAACGTGACACTCTTAGTAAGGAAGTGTTAAATTGAAGGACGAGAATAAAAATTAAAAGAATTATAAAGTTTAGGGTTAAATTGGTAATTTCACTAAAATAAGGAAAATTTTAAATTTTAAAAGATTTATGTCAATTACGGGATGATATTTATGGTTTTACTAATTTATGTCACTAACACATTTGTTATGATTCTCAATCATTTGACATTGAACGTTTATATTCTTAATATTTCTAGTGCTCGAATCCGGGACTTCAAGAAATAACAACAATTTCTTTACCACTAGGTCGCTTGGTTCGAATTATTTTTCAATTATGTTTTCATCGCTAATTTTAACTTTTAAACTTTATTCATTTTAGTCTCGAAACTCTTGTTTAATCATAAATTGATACCACCTCGAATCATTGTAGCTGATCAAATTTGAACTAATTTATTCATTTATTTGGATTATTTTAAGTAAAATGTAAAAACAATTTCCTAACATTTAATTAAATAATTATTTTAGATTTTATCTTTTGGATTATTTTGGTTATAGTATTTTATTTTAAAGTAAAAATATCCATAATATTTAATTAAACAATTTTTTTAACTTATATTTTTTCTATGTTCATTTTTATCCTTAAATTTATCATTTGTTATCTAATAATTTTTATTCACAAATAATTTTTTTATCTTTAAATAAAATATTAAGGATTAAAATAATTCAAAAATAGATCGTAATAATTATTTAACAGAATGTTGAGAGTTTTTTTGTCATCATATTTTGGGGAAGTCTCACGTGCAGCAGCCTAATATACGACTAAGGAAATACGTTATCGGATATGGTATTATCTTTTTAACATTTCATGTAAAAAAATTAGTTAAAACATTATTATTTCTATCGGAAATATTATTATTGGGTGCTTTACATGGTTTGTTAACATATCTTGTAAAGCGTTATTTAAAATATTATTTTTTCTACCTGAAATATTAATATTGAGAACTTTACTAGAAATATTAAAGTACATTAATATTTTAGGTAATTATTTATCAAAAAATATTAAAAAATAATATTTTCAATAACATATTTCCTTAATCGTATATTAAAATTATCGTAGTGTAAAACTTTCTTCTACTTTATTTTATTGAATGATGATATTATGGCAAATTATGGTCTTCATCAAGTTAATTATTTTATCCCATAAATAGTGAAATATCTTTATTTTAATTTTTAATTTCCGCACGTGTTAAACAACATTAAGACAAATGGACAAAATGGAAGGAGATGTTTCACACGAATGATATTGAGAGGTGAGAGTTGTCAGAGGCAATTGGGCCCACTCGGTATCCGAGGGCTGCTGATTGACACTTGTGGGTCCACTCTCGAAAATTTTAAACTACAGCTTATTAATATGAAAGCGATTTTATAAATAAAAAAAATCATCCAAATTTTATAAATTTTATTGATTTAGTACTCTTTAAAATAAATCTTTGTAATAAGATGCGTTACGTAAAATATGCTTAGGTGAACTAAAGGCGTATTTCCTAAATCATTGTTTCAGGAAAAATATTTACATGACATCACATACAAATGCACGTTTTAAGGGGTTTTTCCTCCAAAATTTTCTTGTCACATCAGATTCCTTAAAAACATATATTAAAAAATATGTTTTAAAAAATTTTAAAATAAAATTATAAGAACTAACATCGTAATTTAATACATATTAATTCTACGACTTGAAGAACATAACGAGGTTAGTTTATATAGGCATATTAGAGTATTTATGTTATGTTTCTTGACAATGTAAGATAAAAAATAAAAAGTGTATTATTTAATTATATATATATATATATCTAATTAATCTACTTATACACTATTATTAAATTATATTAGGTTAATATTTATAATTAAGGTTTATTAATTAAGATTAGATATTTTTATTTGTATTAGATACTATTGCCAATCAATCTAATGAAACATTTAAGTAAATGCACGTTTCACGTAACACGTCTTATTATAAAGAATGCTAGATCGGTAAAATTTAGAGAAACGATGCTTAATAGGTAATATTATAATATTTGAGTGAGTTTTGAGTAAAAACTCTTAATATGAGGTTAATAACATAAAAATTAATTATAATAAGAAATTTATCAACCAAAAATGTTATATTTTTATATTATTTTCAATTTCAATAAAAATTACAAATTTATATACTTTTATTTATTATAACTTTTTAATTTTAGCCAAAATGTTACCAATTGTTATAATCTTTTATATTGAACATGATAATATTTTAGATTAAAATCGTCTTAAATTAACTATAAATAAAATGTCACACACCATAACTGCCCTAGTTAGGTACTTCAACTTATCTTATTGCTTCAAATTAATATAGATATTTAATTATTTTTTTCTAAATTAGTACTTGTAGTAAATGATTTATTTAGATTATTGAATTAAATTTAAATATCAATTTGTATCTAAAAAACGAGTTCAAGTATTTAACTGAAAAACAATTTAATACTTAAACAGTATTACATGTATTTAAATAATGATTTTAGTATTTATTATAATTTTATCATTGTTAAATTTGGAATACCTCTAATATTATTTTAAGCATGTTATCTAAATAATTTAAACAATTATTTCTAATCACTAAAAATTAATGTAGACACTAATTTTCGAGCGGTTTGAAAATACGTATATAATGTATGGTTTTTAAAACACTTTTAAAAAACTATATATTATATATATTTTCAAAACATTTTTAAAAATATATAATATGTAATTTTTGAAAAAATATTTTGAAAATATAAACATATAATTTTTAGAGCATTTTTGAAAACTTATATATAATATATAATTTTTAAAACATTTTTTAAAAATTATAATTTTTAAAGAACATTTTTAAAATTATTAGTTTTTTGAAAAACATTTTTAAAACTTATATATAGTATATAGTTTTAAAAAAAGAAACAGTTTTAAAATATATATTATATAGTTTTTATTTATTTTTTTATTTATTATTATATCACCCGTTTTATTTAATTATTTAATTATTATTATTATTTTTTTTAGGTCAATTGCTTTGGTCCAGCAACAGTCCAAATTGGGCCTGAACCAGCCCATAGCCAACATCCAAAGGAGATAGGGTTTACGTTTAACACAGGCGGCGCACAGGGGAAAACCCTAAGACTTCATTTATGCAGCCAGATCTGGACCGTTGGATCTGACCCAATCCAACGGCCAGGAGCAATCTCAAGTGTCACCGGAAATGGAACGGTCAAACAGGCAACAAAATCGGAACAAGCACGTTCCACAACGCCAAATAGAACGCAGGTCGTAACAAGATCGGGAACGACCCCGAAATATCCGGGTTCAACCCCGAGTTCGCCGGAAATGAGCCACCAACGGTGGGGTATAAATACCCCACCAAGCCTGTCACACAGGGGGAGGAGATCGAAAGCCATAGCCACAGTAAACCAAGAACGAACCAAGGGAGACCACATCAACAATAAACCAAAGGACATCACCATCAACAACGAACCACAAGTCAAGAATAAGAGAAAAAACCTACAAACACAAACCAAGCAAAACCATTCGAAACCCACATGCAAGTATAACGCAAAAACCAGTACGCGTCGGTACAGATAAAAGCACATCGGGAAAACGAAGGATTTACCATCGGAAAGGTAAAAAAATCGAACCTTGTGGCCTAGATCTACGATTGGTGGGTGGTTTTTAGGGTATTTGGGTTTAGGATTTTGGTTACCGGGAACGAGAGGAGTGTTTTGAGGGCTTTGGGTTTACCCGACCACCATCGCCGGCGGTCAGCAAGGTGGTCGGTGCGCCAGTTAGCGGCCACAGGTGACGGCCTGCGTGAGATCGGGAATATTGCATAGAGAGAATCTGGAGAGAAGCTTGTTCTCTCATTTGAAGAGAGGGAGAGGTAAGTATGAAAATGTGAGGGTTGAATCGATCGTTGGGCTTAAGTAACATATATGTATATCACAACCAAACGTCGTCGTTTAAGCCTAGGGATTTCCGTGTTTTTCCATTCGTGGTATAACCCCCACACAAGTCCTTTCATTTTTGTAATGCTATGTCTCAGCATTTTAATAGAGTTTTGTTTTACATGATTTTGAGCATTTATTTTCAATTATTATGTTTTAGTCCATTATTACACGTTTCTGTTATGTTTGTTAGAGTTGAATTTCGACCACTACATTTGTGATATTATAATTTCAGTCACTAATTCATGTAGCACACTATGTTTGATGATTTTCAAATTTGACTCTTTAATTTATGTAAAATTTATTTTAATCACTATTTTACATTTGGTTTAATCATTATTTTAGTCCTTTTTATGTTTTATTTGTTTTTTACGTTTAATTTTTAATTTTGTATATATGTTTTTATTATTTATTATTAATTACCTCTTATTATTATTTTTTATTTCATCTCATACTTTGTTTTTCTGGTTTATTTAATATTTTTATTACTTGATCATTTTTCGTATTCTTGTATTTTATCGTTACTTTGATTTTTTTTATTTGTTATTTATTTTATGCTATTTTATTTTATTTTTTTTATTTTTTATTTAGTATTTATTTAGTATTCATTTGTGTTCTCTAACATTTTTAACATTGTAGAGAAGTTCTAACTGATCAAAGGTAAGTAATTTGAATCGGGTTTTTAAATTTCAATTTAAATTTTCGCCATTAAAGACAACCGGAAAATTAATTGGTACCGAAAGGGCGGTTCAAGGGTGCTAATCCTTCCTTGACCGTAACCGACTCCCGAACCCGACACGTTTCTGGTACGACGCAGATCAGGTAAGATGGTATCCGGCCCACCTAAATTCGTTTTAAAGTGGTCGGTGGCGACTCCAATTCATTTAATCCAAGTCGAAGCCCAATTCCGGGGCACAACCGAAAGACGGTTCCGACAGCTTGGCGACTCCGCTGGGGACAGGTAAGTGAGTCAGGCCAGAATTAATTTCTGATTGTCTTTTTATGCGAAAATTGTAAGTTTAAATTTTAATTTATTTATTCGGTTCAGATTATTTACCTTTGATTATTTTTCAAATAAATAGTTGTACTAACATTTTTTCAATGATTTCAGATTTTTTAAAAAGCTTCCATCTCTAGCTCTAAACCCGAGCTCCGAACCCATTTTAAGTGGGGGTGAAAGCGACGCATTCGTGTGAATTTATTCACCGCATATGCCTAGCAAGTAGCCTTCGGGATTCATATACCTTATGCCTTCGTGTGAATTTATTCTCCGTATGGGCATAAGGGAATGTGTCCTCTCGAGTTTAACTTAGTCCACACAAGCCTGTGATGGGTTTAGGACTAAGGGTCTGGCAAGCCCAAGGGGGCACCGGCAAGGAGAACTCGAGTACCGTTTTTAGAACCTAAACCGGGAGAGTACAGGGAATTAGAGCCCACCCCGAAACCTCATTCCAAACCCTAGGCTGTTTTATTTCCTACTTTATTTTCTGTTCAAAGCATGCGAACTAGACAAACATGTGGTTAGGTTTTGTTTGAAATTAGCATGCGGGATAGAGATCATGTCCGTGTAGGAGTAATAAGCATGTGGGGTAGATATCATGTGGGGTAGCATTTTTCATTTTTATTATTGTTTTGATTTACCTCACTAACCCTTTTACTTGTTGTTCTCTTTTATTTTTTGTTCATCGTTTGCATCAATTAAAACGATGGGTTGATCCACCAAAAATATGTTTGTTAAACATGAATAATCTGCATTAATGGACGAATGGGTTATAATACAAAGAGATAAAAAGCTCAGAAGTCCAACCGTGATCAAAGAATACTCAAAGACAAAGTTGCAGGGGCAATACGAGGAAAAGGTCACTGACTCGGTCGCTCCTTTCGAAAACTGCGAGAACAAGATGGTGAAACCCTAGTTGAGCTGGATGCCATTACTGACGAATTCAAGAAACAAGCTTCGGATAGTTTCTCTTGATGGAGGGATCCAATGACACTTTCGTTAGAAACAAGCTCGGTAGAAAGTGAAAGTCGGAGATACAGTCATTCGAGATTTTTTTTTTGGGGCAAGCATCTCATTATTCGCACATTTTAGCCAAAGGAGCCGGAATGGTTCGACAGGATATTCAACTAGTGAAAAAGACGAATCAACTTGTCAGAAGCTGTACAGGATTCGTACCATCAAAAAGAGTTTTTTGTCTCTTCAGACGTAACACTTTTGTCACCAATGAGGGTTATTCAGAATAACAGGCACATTTTTTGGATCAATGTCTCGGACATTTCATGCATCATATATTTAGACATTTTGCATTTTTTTTATTTTCTTTTCATTTTATTATTTTCTCTGCATTCACATTAACTAACATAAACATGTCTCATCAAAGGGAGCAAATACTGGATACACCGCCTTAAGTATTGGACACACCCCATCCACATAACACTCATTTGAAAAAGAAGAGGATGGAAGCCAGAATTACACAAATCGAGGAGAATATGTTAAAACTACAGAAGGAGTTAGAGGACAAGATAAACCAGAACAGTCGAAATATTCTGGAAACAATCACAAAGAACCAAGAGTCCTTGGTTGACCAGATCGTTGCCAAGTTAATTGGCCTACAACAGACCAGTGCGCCTGAGGCAGGTTCATCGGAAGGGGTAACTATACAACCTACCCCACAAGTGGTTATCTCACCTGAAATCTTACCAGAACATCGAGGGGACTCATCGACGGCAAAAGCAAAGCCCTCGTCCTCTGTATTTAACCTTAAGGACAATCCGGGTTATTACCATGTACCGGATTTGGACGAAGAGGACAAAGCGAAGAAGATGGAGGAAAAAATCAAACAATTGGAAGACCAAATGAATATAGTCAAAGGAGACCGTGACTACCATGAAATCGATGCAACGGAACTTAGTCTAGTCCCGGACTTGGTTCTTCCCCCGAAATTTAAGTCCCCAGAGTTCGAGAAGTTTGACGGGAACAGTTGCCCATCCGCTCACATCACCATGTTTTACCGAAAGATGACAGGATATGGAGGAAATGACCAACTCCTCATCCACTGTTTTCAGGATAGTCTGTCGGGCTCAGCCATTCGGTGGTACAACCAGCTCAGCCGATCAAATATCAAGACCTGGAAGGACCTGGCCAAGTCATTTCTGGAACAATACAAACATAACAATGATATAAGGCCAGATCGAGTTATGCTACAAAACATGGAAAAGAAGCATAACGAGAGTTTCAGGCTGTACGCACAAAAATGGAGGGACTTGGCTGTGCAAGTTCATCCACCGTTAGATGAAAAGGAAACTCGGAAACTTTTCGTGCAGACTCTGAAGGCTCCATACTTTGGGCATCTGGTGGCGATCACATCAGGGAGCTTTTCAGACTTGGTTATGGCCGGAGAAATGATCGAGTCGGCCATAAAGCAAGGCAAGATTAAGGATGGGGGAAGCCAGTAAAAAGCCTCCTATGAGGGAGAGGGATGGAGAGGTTAATAACATCAAACAACTCCAGCAAAGGTGTTACAATCTCCAGCCCAAAATCAACTGCAGCTGTACCGTTAGGTACTTCTAAACAAGATTCCAGGAGGGAAAGGGAACATTTCGACCCTATTCCCATGACCTACAAAGAACTTTACCAGCAACTTCTTGACACCCATGTGGTGTCACCATATCCAGTAGAACCCATGAAGCCCCCATACCCCAAGTGGTATGATGAGAATGCGTATTGTGAATATCACGGCGAAGTCCCAGGGCACACAATTGAGAACTGTTACGCATTCAAGAGGGTCGTACAAAAGATGCGTAACCAGAACTGGATCGACTTCAACAACTTGGGGGTATCCAAGTGAGGAATATCATTTCATCATTCTGTTTGAACTTGTTTTTTTTCCACTTTTTCAAGTTTTTGTAAGAACATTTGAATAAGTTTATGTCACTTTAATGATGACGAGCAACGAATCACATTTGTAAACTTGCAATTCTTTGAATATCATCTGAATTAAGAAACTCTGTAAATGGTTCAAAGTTACAAGATCTTTGACGAAGTAACATGATTTAAAAACAAGGACTTTGACCCTACCCAGAATATACACTCAAACACCATACCCTACTCTTGCAATATAACTTTTTCCTTTCATAAGGTGCGGACAACATGGGGCATCGTTTGCATATGAAGATTACTATACTTTTTATTTAAGACGTTCAGTGATGATAATGATCTTCACAGATAGAATAGTCGAGTAAGTGAATCTAGTTTAGGTCAGTTGCTTGAAAATTGAACTCTAAAGATGAAATTTTTGACTTTCAACAAATACCTAGGCTATAACAGGTTCTTCTTAACAATCTTAAGAAATTAAATCCGTAAAAACTGAGCTATTCCACTAAGGCAATTGGTTATAGAGGAAGCTTGAAAGCCCTGGCCTTATGAGTAGATGACGTTCAAACCATGACATTGCTTGGACACTTGGCAATTCGGTGTTTGCTCCACTGCTCTTGTCAGGTTGAAGACTCTGTGATGAGATGAACCCTTCAGTTGACTTGATAAGAGTGATTATAATGATAAGTTGTCCCTCTAAGGCAATTGGTTAAATGCCCCGGCTTTATGGATTCAGCTAGCCAGATAATGACAAATTAAATCAAATTTATCTAAGAAATTTTCGGTAAAATGGACTAAGGGAGTTAAGGAACACCTGTTATAGTCAACTACACACGAGCACTCAAGAATTTCATTTTTAGACTGATATTTTTTGCACTGCCTTTGTTGGAAGAGCCTACAAAGCTTGAACAAATGAAAGATTTCAGAGGACTGAGATAAAAGGTCTAGTAATTGATCATGCTAGTTGCGTCATTTTGTCCGCACCCAATTAAAGTGCCAAAGCATGTTGCGATATTTAAAAAAAAATTACATTTTTTACCAAAAACCATAGAAAGGAGGCCAACCTAAAGCCGACTCGTCCCTTTGAACATTTGTCAAAGATTTGTAACTCTGAAAGCATTAAAAGAGCTCTTGATTCCTTTGATATTTTTTGAACTCACATTTACAATTTGATTCAATTGCGAACAATACTTTACAACATTTTTATCATTTCTCTCTCCTAAAACAAGAAAAAGGAGAAAAACGTTTTCAAACAGAACAATCTCAGATATGAAATGTCTGTAAAACCCAAGCTCGAGAAGCAAATGGGGCACGATCGATTACAAAGACCAGATTGGCAGACAAAGCACGAGACTCCATCCAAGAAATAAATCATAATTCATTCATGATTGCATGCATCTTAGACATACCTAGGTGCATCACATCCATCATTTTAGCATGCATAATTTTGCAGCTTTCAGAGTCAAGCTTCGACTTCAGGATGAAGGCTACTCGACTTGGAGGCACCTTTAAAGAACGATCGTGTAACTCAGCAGCAAGAAGCTACACCTCAACCGACTTTACATATCTACAGATCTCAGAACCAATTTCAGATGGATTCGAGAACCAATTCAGATCAAATTCAGTTCAGCTCAACTCAACAATGAGCAACATGTTTCCAGTTTATGTCTTCAAGCCAGATTTCAATTCCACAACGGAAGATATTTGGCTATCAGAATTCATCAACGGGCTTTCCCATAAAATGGGAGTCATCCAAAGATTGTCTTACTTGATTCTCGCTCAGAGGAACCACCTGAAGAATCATGACCGGCTTCGACCCGTTAAGGGAAGCCATTTTTTTAAACAAACTATTTGCAGCATAGCTTAAGTCGAGAAGGGTTATCTGCCGACCAAAGACCCCCGAGTTCGATTACACTCAGCTTCGAGGGCACATCATTTACAGCATAACTCAAGGCTAGAAGGGTTATCTATGACCAAAAGACCTTTGAGTTTGACTACGCTCAGCTCAACGGCACATCATTTGCAGCATAGCTTAAGTCGAGAAGGGCTATCTGCCAAAGACCCCCGAGTTCGATTACACTCAGCTTCGAGGGCACATCATTTACAGCATAACTCAAGGCTAGAAGGGTTATCTGTGACCAAAGGACCTTTGAGTTCGACTACGCTCAGCTCAACGGCACATCATTTGCAGCATAGCTTAAGTCGAGAAGGGCTATCTGCCAAAGACCCCCGAGTTCGATTACACTCAGCTTCGAGGGCATATCATTTGTAGCACAGCTTAAGTCTAGAAGGGTTGTCTGCTAACAAAAGACCTTTGAGTTCGACTACATTCAGCTCAACGGCACAACATTTGCAGCATAGCTTAAGTCGAGAAGGGCTATCTGCTAAAGACCTTCGAGTTCGATTATATTCAACTTAGAGACAAATCAAGCTTACAGAATAGCTCAAGGCAAGAAGGGTTATCTGTCAATAAAATTGTCGAGTTCGAGTCCAATCAGCTCGATGACACCTCAATCACACTACTGTCTGGTTGCAATCGAGGTTTTCAAAGTCAAGAAGAACACCTGGATTAACCGTGCCTTAGTGACAAAAAAAAAAATCGCTTTTCGACAGCATAGCTTAAGTCGAGAAAAGCCATCTGTCGACGAAGACCTTTCGAGTTTGGTTTTATTCAGCTCAAGGGCCTATCAAACACATGGTGGAGTCAGAGAACCACTCTACAGCCAAATTTCTTAACCAAGGTCTTTAAACCAAGAAGAAGACCGAAGTTGACTACAATTGGGCAATAAAAAGCCGCATCCCGATTCAAATTTCGAACTACGGTTTCAATTCCATATTATTTCGAGATGGACTCGACTTCGCGACGGAGGGGTCATCCGCAGCTCAATTCGACAGGGAGTTATTCTTCAACTCTACTGAACGAAAATTTGTGTCTTTTTATCTTTGTCCTATTTTTCGTTCCACGAAAAAGGACAAAGAGGGGCAGCTGTAGACACTAATTTTCGAGCGGTTTGAAAATACGTATATAATGTATGGTTT